GGGATGAGGGGAATTCACATTGTTTGAATGAACATTTACTTACAATACATTTTTTTTCAGGTGTGAAAATCGGGCTAGGGCTTGTTTTCGGGGAAACACGGCACATACTATGAAAAGGATACAGAATCAGAAGGTTGGTTCAAAAAGTTCATCTTTTACATTCATAGTATATGCAAAATAAGTCTCAGTTCATGAAGTCCACTATCTCTAAAGACCTCATTGGATGACTTCAGTGATTGGAATATAGGAATCAAAGGATGCAATTTCTTCACAAAGAACAGAAACAATGGAAAAAAAGATTATGAGAAACAACAGCTCAGGATTTTAATAAACTAAACAATGGGGAAAATAGGGTAAAAAAGTAATAAAGATGTGTAGGACTTCTTCAAAAAAGCTATCCATTAAAAAAAAATAAAGAGGGTAGAGGAAGATAGTAGAAGCCAATGCACAAAACACTGAACGAGAATATGAAAACGATGAAGAAGATATATAGGAGGTGGAAGAAGGGGCAATTTAATTCTGAAGAAAGATACATGAAGATAGATTGGGATACTAGAGATTATATGTCCCCTAATTCCCAGCAGTCATTGGAAAAACAAGAAGTAGAATCCAGCCTTTCTAGGGAGCAAGTTGAGAGAGCTTGCTCCACTTTGTATACAGCGTACATGGTTTCTAAATTCTTTTTTTTTATTTTTTATTTTCTTTTTTATATATATATAAATTCTTAAACTTTATCAAACTATAACTACTGAGAGTTAGTGACTGTTTCTTTTATCAACTGCCAGATTTTTTTTTAATTTTTAATTTTAATTTTATGTATCCATGTATCCATAACTATGTTTTTACTTATACCTATTATCTTGTAAGCAATTGATAAAGATAAATAAATAAATAAAATGTTTATATTTCTATAACGGCTTTCCCCAAAGCTATGTCTTTCAGATGTACTGGACTTCAGTTCTCATCTCTTATCCACTACCTCCATTTTTCCTTATAGTTCTAAATCCTCATTTGTAACTGAATGCCTTGAAGGTAATTTATGGATAATTATGAGTGATATATGAAGTTAAGTATATTGACCTCTTTTGAAGTGAAAATTTAATACCACCCCATTGTGCTTCTCCCCACCCCTCACACAAATCTTAATTTTTAAGCATACATTCATTTTGTTGAAAGGACTGAGTTAATTGAAGTTTTTTTAAAAAAACCCACACACATTATTTTCTGTACTTCACATTTTAAAGGCTATATGTTAAACAATAAGGAAGATAATTTTTCTAATCTAAAAAGCAGCTATATAATCCCTTTCTTAACAAGCAATATACACTAACAATAGAAGTGATTTTAACACCCAGATTTCAAAATGTATTCTGTTATTTCTTTACCTTACCATAATTATATTTTAATTGCCTCTTTAGAAAATCCCATTAAATTTTCCTTTCTATGTGAAACATACCTATTGCAGTTAATAAATATGATATAGTTCTCTGGTTCCAGATTCAAAATCATTTTGTTATGGTGCAAGAGATTTTGATTAATCTCCAAATTATTATTAATTTTTTCCAGTGTCTGCTGGGTTTATCTAAAATTTGCAGAACCGCTGCAGGCAGAGTTTACTAGAAAGAAATTAATGCACTTTGCTCTGCATATGATAATTTTATCTTTGAAGACATACTTATTTTCATGTATTCAATACTTCATAAAAGATATTCTGTATAAATGCCAAAACATAGAAGTGGAAAATAGGGGGGAAACTGTCTGCGTGTTTAGTTTTATCTTTTTGCAAATAAAAGGAAATAAGTTACAACCCAATAATATTTATTTAATCTGTCATGGAAACTGCTCACAAGCCCAATGTGAACATTGTCAGATGGGCTTATAAAATTGCATTTAAAAAAGTCTAGCAAGCTTTGCATCCAACAGAAATGGAACCATTTACCTCAAAATGGATGGTGTAGGACCTTGAGATGGAATCTGGAAATTTATGCATAGGGCTAGGAACATTACAACATATACCAGGATAAATTAGTGCAGCTGGCAGATCTGTATCATTACATTTTGGAAACAGAGAAGCTCATTGGGACTTGTGCCTATAAATTCATACCAAAAAGGGAGATTGATCTTTTCTAGGATACTCTTCCAGAGAGATGATAGCTGTCCCCCAAAAGCTACTGCAGACAGCAGTTATTATCTTCAACCATGTTTTATGGAAAGAGAAAGATGGAGTGGGAAACTACTGAATGGTTACAAGAAGAGGAGCGTATAGCAGGGTCTTGTTCTCCCATGTAACTCTAGGAATGAAGCTTGGTGGATCCTATGATACTGTAAATGCCCCATTTCAAATCATCTTCTCTACGCTCTTGACCTTACTGTACTGACAACTAGTGCTTCTGCCAGAAAGGGAAGGCAGGTCAGAAGGTTTGGAGCTCAGCAATATTTATTAAGAAAGTGATAGATGCCATGTGATAGATGTCTTGCAAATATGTCAGGTGTCAACATCTGGTTTGACACAAGCATGCCAAAACATTTAAGGGGGTGATTTGGCTTTGTCTGCAGCATTATTTCTAGGGGGCTCCCACCAACATCTGTATAGATTCATGTTTACTGATGGTTATTTTCTTATTTTCTTTTTTTTTAAAAATCTCTATGGCAAAATAATGCCATATAAATATTTTTTCACATCAGAGGAGCAAAAGCAAGCTCCATTATTTTTGCATTCATGACAGTTATGAGAGTTACTTTACAGTGTGGAAATGTGCATCCTCTGAATGTATTTTTTTTAAATATATCTTGACAAAGCATCCTTTGTTCCTTGATTCCATTGGAAATATAGAAGCAATTATAAACATGAGATGGGGGTTAGGGATGGAGATTCATCATTCACACAGGTTTAAAATAGCTAAAATTACCTAACCGCATCACTGTCTGCGATACAAAATACCTTTGGGGGATGGAGCTGATTGTTGATGCACTGTAAACTTTATTGGATGCTGTGACGACCTTTGGATATCTCGCCTTTCAGTCTCTGTGGGATTGTGTGTTGTGTGTGTCATGTCTTTTTTTTTGATGTCAGCAGTTATAAAGTTGCTGTATTCATGGAAAAGAAGAAAGTGGCAAGTTTGCAATGTTTTGTGAGTATTATAATCATGTTATTATGACAATATGTCATGTTATTTCATGCTATAACCCCAATTGCTATTGTAGATTTTAATAGAAGGTATGTAGTTGGAACTGCACAAAATACATCTGCTCAAGCATTGTGTTTCTCAATTGATTAACTACTTTAAAAAGTACCCAAAATAACTTTCTCTCCTTTTTGACATCAAACTGGAGAAGAGACAAATTGTACTGTATGAAGGGTGCAATCACACAGTTAAAATTCTTTGCAAGCTTCTTTTCTGATGGAAAACTGTGCATAAAATTACAGAGTTTTTTTTTTGTAAGCTTCTTGTCCTGCTTTAACATCTCTTTCATTTCTTTGGCTTCAAACTTTCGTTTCACCTCCTGGATAATTTCCTGCTCCTGATGTATTTTAATATTTGTTTATATGATTGTTTTTCTGGAGTTAGTTGTTTCCTCAGGCAGGAATTAATACTTCAGAAAGGCTGCCTTTGACTTCTGGTGGCACTTCCGTCGAGGATGGACAGAGGCCACGATCATGCGCGGCTTTGATCCATGCTTATTCTGTTGGAGAGATTCCTACGGGACCGGAACCATCAGACCCACCTCAGAGGGGTGGGGGAAGAGGGGGAGACTGCCAGCTGGGTTGAGGGGAGCCGCATCTCCCCTCCCTGGCTTGGTATACTCCCCTGGAAGACAGGGAGAAGCAGCAGTTTTAATGGCTACCCTGAAAATGGGAAGCTACCAGGACCTAAGTGTGTGCTGGAGAGGTGAAATGGTGAGAGGCATGTACCCAGACAAGAGAAGCTGAAACTTTTGTTTTAATAACCCTGAAAAGCAGAAAGAAAGATTCCTCATTTGAGAGTACAACAGTGGTGAATAGAAAACAAGAGGACAATATAAGGTAAATAAAAAACTGGACTACAAAAGAGCTATAATGAAATTAAGGACGGAATTGGGAATAATATACAGAACCTGGCATTAATTAGGCATTGGATAAAATGCTGAACTTGCTTGGAATCGAGTATACTTTTAAAAAAAGCCAATGGTTAAAATGTTTGAAAATTAACATTAATATAATTGAAAAAAGGGGGAAAAAAGAACTTTGAAAAGTGGAAGCGATATAGAGCACCATCTAATGGTACAAGACATTTTTTCCTGGATGACTTTATGGAAAATTACTGGTCTGTTAAATTTGTGAATGAGAAAAGACATGAAATAAAAGACTTTATCATAACAAGAACCCCGGAAGCTTAAAAGAAAAAGGGGGAGATTGCAGCAAGAGGACAAAGGAAGGTAATATCTTGGGACTGCTGAGGGTTGACTGGGCAAAGGAAATAGAAGGACCAATAAGGAAGTCTCTTGGCAAGGATTACAATTAACTTTAATAAAATAAAGAATAACACAATTGATTAAAAAAATGGAAGAAGCAAGCAAAGAATTTTAGTTGGAACTGCAAACTGAAAGAAATGATAAAAGAAAAAAGAGGACTATTGGACACACTGGCAGAAAAAGTTATGCAATTTATAGCAGAAAAAAAGGAACTCTAGAGAGGAGGAGCCAAAGGAAGAAGAAAACAGCCAAGGTGGACATGAAGATTCAGAGACATTGCCAAAAGACACAAAAGGAACTAAAACTAAGAAATTGATGACAGAGATAATAAATAAAAGAAAAAAAGTTCTTAAGAGTAAGCAAAAGAAGAAGCTGTACAAGAAGATATTTCGAAAAAGAGAAAAGGGAAGGATGGGAGGAAAGATGGGGGACTGGCAGATGGAAATAAATGTAATATTAGAGGAAAAAAGAGGGATAAAGAGGAAAGGCCAGGAAAACTTAGTAAAGGGGAAGCTGGCCAAAACTAAGAGAAATGACAAGGCTGAGAGATTTAGAGATAAAGGTTAGATATAGCATAAAAGGGGGACACCACATGGGAATGTATCTTTGTATTTTTTATTAGAAATGTAGATTGGGGAGATTTGAAGTTTATAACTTACTGGGAATTACCTTAAAATTATTAGATAATTATAGATGAGAAAAATGAAGATGGAGTGAGCGATATTAAGATTGTTCTATTGTTATTAATCCTTTCTATCTATATCTACATCTACATCTATATCTATATCGTTTTGGCAGAATCTCATCTGCCATCATCAGGCTTCTGTATAGTGTTCATCTGTGAGTCAGACTTTCACAGCCGTTTCTGTTTTAAATTTAGGCTTCTCTGATAATTCTGTAGCTGGGGTTTTCTGTAGTGGCTAGGGTTTTGGTGCCATTGAAGTTGATGCTATGACCTGTGGCTTTCATGTGTTGGACTAGTGAGGAAGTGTGTTCCAGCTTTTTTTTTACTGCATTTTTGTGTTCAACTAGGCGGGTACTTATTCTTCTATTGGTCTGTCCAATGTATGTGGCAGGGCATGATGCACAGGGGACTTCATATATGCCTTGGTTTTCCAGGTCAATTTTATCTTTGGGGTTTCTTAGGATGGCTGCAATTTTTCTGATATTAGAAACACCAATCAAGCAGAACACAGCAAACTCCAAGACCAATAAACACAGACCAAGACTCCCAACCAATCAGGATGAAGAAAAAACCATTCTGGCACAGCGTAGGCTAGCACCAAATTTAAAACAGAAATGGCTGTGAAAGTCTGACTTACAGACGAACACTATACAGAAGCCTGATGATGGCAGATGAGATTCTGCCGAAACATTGCTACAACTTTAAAAGCACAACTATAATGACGTGGGAAAATACCCGAACAAAACTGAATACCATCTATCTATCTATCTATCTATCTATCTATCTATCTATCTATCTATCTATCTATCTATCTCTATCTCTATCTCTATATATCTATATCTATATCTATATCTATATCTATATCTATATCTATAT